AACATACCGATTTAAAAAAAAAGATACTGTTTTCAAAGTGAAGATTCAAATGTTTATATTAGATTCGGTCTTTTCGCTGTTCAAATTAACACACAATCATCACGTGGGGCAAATCACTTTTTCGACCAATCACCAACGCTTTTATCCACATGACCCACTGGATAAAAGCATTGGTTGGTTGATCGTAAAAATGATCTGACATAAAGAGTTGTGGCTTCAATCTCTGGCATCACCGGAGAGAACAAAAACTTGGAAGTGGAGAGAACAAAAGCTTATCAAAGCGATTTAACTGAAACTAAGACATCCAAAGGCATGGTATGTGGAATTAGAATAATCTACTTTGGTAGAACCCTATTAAGGGTTCGGTTCAAAATTCCAAGAAATATCACCTGAAGAAGGCAGGGGCGTATAACGACGAATGACGAGGACAAAAGCCCGAAAAATGTAAATAATGCTTATATCTTATATCAATCCTCCTATATGAAAGAGAATGGTAAACAATTTTCTCGGAGATGAAGAGAAGAAGAGGCAATGGAGATGTGGATGTACAAAATGATGTCGAGAATACCATGTGAGCAATAAGAAAATTTTAAGGTAAATTGAAACAGAAAGGAAACGTTTTTATCATTTCACCCCAAGCAAGGCGAGAATGCCATTAGTACGCAGGAGTTACAGAGAGTGAAAGTGAGAGAAAAACTGGATACACGCGGAATTGAAGAAAGAATTAAAAATGAACGGGATTCAAGAATACAGAAGATGGCGATTGGTGATGCATTTAAATTTTTGAAGATTGTAGTTATCAGCGAAGCAAGGAAACGGAAGGGAGTTCCACAGGCGGGAAGTGCGAGAAAAAAAAACTTAGTGTAGAAGTGACAATTACATTTAACTATTTCAACGGTAAAAGGGTGGGACCGATATAGTGGCACGCTTAAATTCGTGTGGTCGGGTCACCAGGTAAAAAAAATCTCGTCAGAGCAATTGACTTAGAATCAGAAAGTGACGGTTGAAAAATTTGAAACACATAAGGAAGAAATGGAAAATTTAACACTCATAGAATATATCCATATTTTCTTTTTGTGTCAGGCATCAACAGTACCATTTGTGTACCGTTTGTTTCTAAAATTGTATCCTCCTCCGAAAGAAATAATGGTAGGAATTTTAGTTCTCTTAGAATTGACTCACTAGTTAAATAAAGCCTATTTGCAAATGCATCATATACTTTCCTCTTGCTAACGACCATCCAGTCTCCAGACAATTGAGAGTGTATATTATTTTCACCTCAAGCAGGACGATATTGCCATTAGAACGCGGGAGATTACAGGGAGTGAGAATGAGAAGATTTAAAATGGGTTGGATTAAGGAAAGTACAAAAAAGAAACAGGATTCAAGAAGACAGAAGATGGCGATTGACGATGCAGGTCACGTGAAAGAACAATAAAAGAACAAGAAGACAGAAGAAGATAGCGATAGACATTGCATTTACATTTTTGAAGTTCAAAGTCAACTGGGAAGCCAGGATCCGCTCAAGATCTCCAGATGAAGCGAGAGAAGAAGCTGTTAGCATAGAACTTACTGTTGCATCTAGCCACTTGAGCTGTAAAAGGATGAGACCTTGTTTTAATGTAATTTTTGAAAATTGTATTTATCAAGGAAGCAAGAAAATGGAAGGGAGTTCAACAGATGGGAAGTACAAGAAAAAAACAACTATGGGAGTGGAAGTGGCGGTAGCATCCAGTAAAATGGGGGCGCCTAGTTGCCAGTCTGGTAGTACGCTTAAATTTATTTAGTCGGGACAATAGCGAAATATTTGCCATGGAAATATTTGGAGAAAGGACAAAAAGAAGTCACGTCAATGAAAAAGTGTCTGAAGTTGAGATGCCAAGGTCAGGAGCAGTAACATTGCAGATTCTTCCCGGATTTTTTAAGATTTCTTTTATTACCTTGTCCGGGAGTTTCTGTAGTTTTCTTTGTGTGTCTTATGTTGATAAGATTGTGTCTCCTAATTTTTAAATTATGGCATTATTAGCGGACACACACTTAATATAAGATGCACAGAAGACTCCGTGTTGTTGTTGTTGTTGTTCTTTTATGTGTCGTTTCAGAGCGTTGCTGATTATGGCTCCCCACCATTTCCTGTCCTTTGTAGCTCTTAATAACTTTGATCTTTTTACCACCTCTCCCAAACCCTGCTCCGCCATCCATTTGCTGAAGCTCTCCAGGTAGGTTGTGCGTTGCTTTCCTCTAGCCCTGTTATCTTCAATCTGTGTTGTCATGTTTTTGTCAACGTGGATTATTACGCGATCTCATTTGAAACGTTAATATGGAAAATTCATTTCTGTTGACGGAAAATCGGTGGTGATTGTATCTTCATGATATCAAAAATATCCTACGGGCACACGACATTGAAACACCTGTTCCCGTACGACCAGTGGAGTTAAGCAGCGTCGAACCTGATCAATACCTAGACGGGTGACTGCCTGGAAATTTCAGGTGCTGTAAGCTTGGATGTGCAGATGGTGTAACGGATAATGGTTCGGAATTATTTATCAGAGAACCGAGTTCTAATTCCAGTTGTGTTGGTTATATTCACTTACGCGGAAATAACCTTGGGAAAGGTATGAATCCATCTCTTCTCCCGCCAGCTATGACTTAATTAGTAAGACTAGTATCACTAAAACCATTATTATTAATAAAAAAAAATGGGTCCAAAATATTTAGATTTCGGTATTAAATAACTCATAGAGGTTGATACACTGCAAAACAAATTCAACATTCCAAATACGAACCACTCCGATGAAATTTTTTTTTCATGTTTTGAAACTGAATTATTACAATTCTAAAGTGTTTATTGGATGACCTGTTGACCTTTAGCTTCAAGCTCTTTAATTGTTCTTTTTTTTGTTGGTCATGTGATTGGCGTTTGCTGATAAAAAGTTTGATTCCCCACCCCCTCCCGTTTGTCTTACACAGAAAAAGAAACGCATCTGTTACAAGATGAAACCTGCTTCATCTTGGGGAAAAGACCAGCTGTGAAAATACTGTGTTATCTGCCAGAAATCGACTATTTTTCTAGCCACCAACATCAAACTCTTTTTGGAGTGATAGACAGAAAACACACACACACACACACTATATATATATATATATATATATATATATATATATGGTTGAGTCATATGTAGTTTCTGTTTTTGCGAACCATTTGTAATGACGAATGTATCATATTAACTAATAATTATGCGTGGTAGTTAGTAATAAATTTGTAATATACTAACATACCTTATCAGCGGTAGCGTACACAGCCGATTAGAGGAAAAATGCAGGTCACGTACAGCAAGAACAACCCAATAAAAATAATGGAACGAGGTTTGTCTGTTCCACCCAACCACTAGTCAAATGATTATTACCTTTTTCGATCGCTGCAATCATCTCACGCCAAACAAGGCAATAAAGTCACTAAGACGCAAGAGGTTAATAAGTAGGAGATAATATGAAAAAAAAAACGCTATTATGGTGAAAGGACAATAAAAGAACAAGAAGACAGAAGAGAGAAGATAGCGATAGGCATTGCATTTACATTTTTGAAGTTCAAAGTCAACTGGGAAGCCAGGATCCGCTCAAGATCTCCAGATGAAGCGAGAGAAGAAGCTGTTAGCATAGAACTTACTGTTGCATCTAGCCATTTCAGCTGTAAAAGGACGAGACCTTGCTGCTAATGTAATTTCTGAAAATTGTATTTATCAAGGAAGCAAGAAAACGGAAGGGAGTTCAACAGATGGGAAGTGCAAGAAAAGAAACTGTGGGTGTAGAAGTGGCGGTAGCGTCCAGTTAAATGGGGACGCCTAGTTAACTTCTGGTAGTACGCTTAAATTTATTTAGTCGGGACAATAGCGAAATATTTGCCATGGAAATATTTGGAGAAAGAACAGAAAGAAGCCACGTCACGTCAATGAGAAAGTGACTGCAGTTAAGATGCCAGGTCAGGACCATTAACATTTCAGATTCTTCCCGGATTTTGTCAAGAATCATGAGTTTTCAAGATTTCTTTTATTACCTTGTCCGGGAGTTTCTGTAGTTTTCTTTGTGTGTCTGATGTTGATAAGATTGTGTCCACCAATTTTTAAATTATGGCATTATTAGCGGACACATTCTTAATATAAGAAACTGTTAGCATAGAACTTACTGTTGCATCTAGCCACTTGAGCTGTAAAAGGATGAGACCTTGATGTTAATCTAATACTGCCCTTAAATTTGTAAAGTCTATTACTATAGAGGAAAATTAATCAGAAAAATTACCATTAAAGAATTTATAGAAAAGTCACAAGGAAGCTACGTTACGGCGGTGGGAACGTGACTGAAGCCGATATATCTGGTTAGGACTAATAAAATTGCAGATTGTTCTTTGTATTTTATCAAGAATCTCTAAATATACAGCAGAAGCACTAGACTAGATGAGACAGCAATATTTAATGTATGAACGAATGTGTAAGATAGATTCTGACAGGAATAATTGTCTAGCATGACACAGTGAACCACCTTTCTTAGCAGCAGACCTAGCAATTGATTCGATATAATCTTTCCACTTCATGTCAACGAAAAACCCGAGAAGGTGCAATCAACCACACACCTGACAGTTGACATCAGCCTTGATGGAAGGCAAAAAAGTTTCTCTCAGACGAATAAAAGAGAGCAGTTTCGTTTTGCAGACGTTAAAATTAACAACCCATTTCTTGCCTCAGTTAACAACCGACTGTATGTCATTTTTTTTTTTTTTTTTGATCAGCTGCCGGTTTGAACTAATCGAACCAATCAGACTTCCTTTATTAAGACGGGAGTAAATAGTTGTGCCATCAACATAGATAACGAGTTGAAAACAGATGATATCAGGAAGGTCATTGATGAAAAATAGATAAAATGTAGATCGAAAGATAGAACCTTGATGGTTATTTGCATTAATGCAAAAAAATCTAAAAGAATGGCCGTTCAAGACAACTTTTATTTTGTTATTTGAATCGGTTCAAAATTTCGACAAAAAATACCCTAACATTTTAACGTGTGAGGAAGACTAGCATGGTAATCATTCTGGAGGAAATGTTCTCTCATGAAAACCAGATTAAAAAAGTCGTCAGAATTTTTTTGCATGTGAAATTCTGCGGAATTTTACTCCAAATGCTAAATGGTAACAAGTTATTGCAAATAATAGTAAAGATGTAATGGAATCCAAGAAAGCGGAAATTATGATTTAAACTAAAATATGCATCCATTACGTTTTTTATCGATATATCAGGAAAACATAATGCAAACTAACGGTTTGTTTGCCGAATGACAACAACATTTATATGCGCAGTTAGGTTGAAAGCTGGCTCGTTTTGCGCAGATGTTAACAAAAGTCAGCCATTTGTATGAAATTTTTTTTCAAATTTTAAATTAATAGCCGTGTTCTGAGTTTAAAGTTTTCAAATATATCGTCCGTCTGATTTGATGGATGAAAACATATATTTAATAACGTCAGTGTTTGTAAAAGGTAAAACAACACTGGAAATTCTATCAAAATATTTAGGTTTTGTGACAGCGTGGAAGTGTCGAAACTTGTAGAATGTTTCTAAGGTCCAAATATTTGAAACCTCTTTTAAAAGAGACCGAAAAGGAAAATGGAATCACCGATCAATAGAATACTTTAAAAGAAGACAAAATTAAAGAGTATGGAATGGAATAAAAAAAGACTAAAACTTGTGAAATGGAGTAAAAAAAGAAGAAGACTTTGACATGTAAAATGGAATAAATAATCAAACACCATAGAAAATTCTGTTATGGCGGAATATAGAAAATGAAAGTCACTATTAGAATCTTGTGAGATTATCCCAATTCTTCGTAATAAGACTCTTTAGAACGACCGCTAAGTGGCGTGCTAATAAACAGTATAAAAGAAAAGGAGATAAACATTCTTTTTTCTCTCTCAAAAGAATATGCGGCATTACGACTCGGTTATAAGATTTACCGTAGGTTTGTCAGTGTTGACAGTCAACAGCCTTCGGGACTCCACTTTTACTTTCATAGATTTTTTGTGTTTAGATATGAACACAAGGCAATAGAGGCTTAAAAATCAGGGTTTTCCTACATATTACTTTATATATTCTGTATTATGACCGTAGGCATTGAACTACCTCTTTTGGCATTCCCTTACTTCACATGAAACTGCAGCTTGTTTTGATTTGGTGAAAACTTTACCTAAAATTAATTACAGACGGATGAAGAATAAATTGAAAGTTATACGATGAACATCATTTCAAGTGATTGGTCCAACATTAAAACCAAGTATTAATATTTATTATTGCTTATATTATCATTATGGTGCTATTCATACTTAATATTCATCACTATTTCTTTAACAGCGAGAAGAATGTATCAATCAGCTAAGTCAGTAACTGAAGAAGTTTATAGTCAGTCTTTTTGTATTTATAACATCTCTATTCCCTCCCAAGTGTCTCTCTATCTATGTTACTTTGTATCTATCTATCTATCTATCTATCTATCTATCTATCTATCTATCTATCTATCTATCTATCTATCTATCTATGTTAATCTGCTCTTATCTCTCTCTCTCTATCTTAATCTGTTTTGATCTATTACGTTAATATGTTCTTATCTATCTATCTATCTATCTATCTATCTATCTATCTATCTATCTATCTATCTATCTAGTGAGAGAGATAGGGGGAGAAAGGGGGAATGGAATATGGGTGCATGCTTTAAATGCCTATCTATCCCTATAGTTAATTTCGTCAGCTCTCTCGTCATCTATCTATCTATCTATCTATCTATCTATCTATCTATCTATCTATCTATCTATCTATCTATCTATCTATCTATCTATCTAAATCTGTTCTCTCTCTCCCTCTCTCTCTCTATGTTAATCTGCTCTTATCTCTATCTATCTTAATCTGTTTTTATCTATTACGTTAATATGTTCATATCTATCTATCTATCTATCTATCTATCTATCTATCTATCTATCTATCTATCTATCTATCTATCTATCTAGTGAGAGAGATGGGTGGAGAAAGAGGGAGTGCAATATGAATGCATGCTTTAAATGCCTATCTATCTTTATACTTAATTTCGTCAGCTCTCTCGCCATCTATCTATCTATCTATCTATCTATCTATCTATCTATCTTAATCTGTACTTTCTCTCTCTCTCTCTCTATCTATGTTAATCTGCTCTTATCTCTCTCTCTATCTATCTTAATCTGTTTTGATCTATTACGTTAATATGTTCTTATCTATCTATCTATCTATCTATCTATCTATCTATCTATCTATCTATCTATCTATCTATCTAGTGAGAGAGATGGGGGGAGAAAGAGGGAGTGCAATATGAATGCATGCTTTAAATGCCTATCTATCTTTATACTTAATTTCGTCAGCTCTCTCGCCATCTATCTATCTATCTATCTATCTATCTATCTATCTATCTTAATCTGTACTTTCTCTTCCTCTC